TGTTTAAGTTCAAAAACGAGGGCTTGAGTTCATAATTCCAAAATTTATTAGAGAGCTCGAGAGAAGGCGATTTTGGAGGGGAATTTCAGAGGAGTGATTGGGGTAAGTGTTCTTCACTCAAATTTGGTTAAATTCCATGATTGTGTCTTGATTTTTATCATTTAATTTGGGAATTTGGGGTGAAAAATGGGGAAAATGGAAAAAAAATTGGAGAGTTGATTTTGGGGATTTGGATGGCCATTTGATGTCGGATTTTGACGAATTTGAAATGGGTAGACTCGTGGGAGGATAAGGATTCTAATGGTGTGATTTTAATTGGATTTCGACACGTGGGTCCAGGGGTCGGGTTTGGCCAATTTCGGGATTTTTGATGTAATTTGATTAATTTCGCGTGGGCTTTGGTCCTATAGCTTATATTGACGGCATGAATCTGGTTTTGGTTAGATTTGGAGCATTTGGAGGCCGAGTCGAGAGGCAAAGGCATCGCGGGCTAGAGTTTGGACCGGTTCGAGGTAAGTAATGATTGTAAATGTTGTCCTGAGGGTATGAAACCCCGGATTTCACATCGTTCCACTACTTTGAGGTGACGCACACGCTAGATGACGAGCGTGGGGTCGTACACCATTGGGGATTGTGACTTGATCCGTCCCGTACAACTATTAAGTCGCGTATTTGATTGAAAACTATTTGATATTATTGTGTTTTGGAAAGTATTACTATGTTTGGGGTTGAATGCCGTGTTTGGGCCTCGTGTCAATTGTTTGGACCCTTAGAAGCTTTTTACTACTTTTTCCTCATTGTTTTTGGTTTAATATCTACACTCAGTCATGCTATATTTTACTGATTTCATAACTCTGTTCTATTTACTCCGTTTTGATTCTATAAATGATATTTTGGGCCGAGCACCTGTTTTACTGTTAGCCCGAGTGGCTTGAGAGATTTTTGACTGAGTAAGGCCGAGGGCCTGTGTTGTGAGGAAATCATGGGATCGGACTGCGCGTCGCAGCATGTTATTTTGATTTGTGATATGTGAGAGGCGGAGGGCCTGGTTTACTATGCCACGAGATGGCTTGTGATACCGCTTGGGCTGTAGGAGCCCATCCGGAGTCTGAACACCCCTAGTTAGCGTGGGTACCCAGTGTGAGTGATGCGATGTTGCCCGAGGGGCTGATTATGAGTGATTGTGAGGTAGCCCGAAGGGCTGGTTCTGTTGATATTTGGCCCGAGGGGCGGTTTATGGTACATGTCTTTCCCGAGGGGCTGTTTAAGTTCTTATTATTTTTACATCACTGTTTCACCACTTGTTTGAAACTAATGAAAGATGTTTTTAAAAGAAAAAAAAGGTTTTACTGAAACTGAGTTGTTTTTACGAGTTAATTGATTTGTGTACTGTTTTCGAAATATATTGTTTTGCTATAGTGTTATGACGTGGAATTATCTGGTTTCTTACTGCTCAGCTGCTTTTACTTTTATTACTTATTGGGTTGGTGTACTCACATTACTCCCTGCAACTTGCGTGCAGATCCAGGAGTTGCTGGTCTTGATAGAGAGCATTGATCGGTTCTCTCAGCAGGTCTTGGAGTCGACAAGGTAGCTGCATGGCGTTCGCAGCCCTGTTCTTCTCCCTCATATCTTCCTTAGATTATATATTATTATTGTCTTCCATACTTTGTTAGACTTTCTTGTACTTAAACGGATTTTGTAGTTGCTCATGACTGGTGACACCCCGATGTCGGGCTTGTGTTATTTTCTTCTGCACTGGTTATTTAAACTTATATTATGAGATATTTTGTTAATTAATGGCTTAAAACGACTTTTATGGGATTCTGGTTGTAATTGGATTTGCATCGGCTGGCCTAGTTTTACGATAGGCGCCATCACGACCGGGTCGGTTTTAGGATCGTAACAGTGGGCTAGCATAGGGGATATGTTGCAAGATTTTGTATGCAATTCTATTGGCACGTGTTGCGTGTCGTCTACTATTTGGCCATCAAGTACGGGTTTTTGAGGCAAGTGTAAATTGTTATTGGGGGGTTAGACACGGTAATAGAGGGGTTTAGAGGGTTAGTGGTAGGGGTGTTTGGCAAAACTAAGTCTTGGCATGTCTTAGGGAGTGTATGTATACTGGAATTATTAGATATGGCCGAAGATTTGATAGTATCAGTAGGAGATTCTTTGCTAGACGTGTCTAATGTCCCACTAGAAGCATGCAACGTGTTTTTGTTTTGTATTAAAGATTTATTTTTATTGTAATTGTTTTGGGAAATCATGGGCTCTTGATGCAACATGGAGAAGCGGTTTTCTAGTAGGAAACCTTTAGGATTTTCAAGATTAGAATTACTATTTGGGTTGGTTTCCTGGGCACAAAACCTATTGCTTTGGTAATTAGTTATAGTAGCACTATCTTTACTAACATAATTTAATTTTTGAGTGTTAATATATTTACCTCTGGATGCATTAAACAATTTGACGTTTATACCTGCCTCTACTGGAGCTCCTTTGTCCACCATTGGTGTTTGCTTCCTCAATCTCCTTGATGAAAGGTCACGGTTGCCAGCCACTATCGACTTGGGGCATGTGTGACTCTGTGTCTTCGTGGTGGCCTGGGATAGATTTATCATCAATAATTTTCCCTAACATGGACTTTAATGAGCATGGAAAATTTGCATGAGTATGACCTAGGAACCGCACCCTTTGCAAAGAAATTTATCACCCTCATATTCTATGTCTGTTTACGATCCTCAATGTAAATGAATTTAGCAACTGGTTGATCCATCGGTAATTCAACACACAGTCTGGCATAACGACCCCTTAAGGTTGCTGATGTGCAAGCATCTATTTTCAGCAACCTGCCTATTGAGTTTCCAATTTTTCGAAGGATAAAACTATCGTAAAACTCAGTTGGAAGATTAGGTAGTCGAAGTCATATTGCAGTGTAGGATTGTTTTGCCTCCGATGGAAAAAAATTTGGCACCCATCTCTGACATGATAGAAAGTGTCCAAAGATGAACCATGGACCATTCTGCAGGATTGAAAGCATATTGTCTTTGTTTTGTAATTTTACAATATAGTAGCCAGCACCAAGGTCTATAGGGAAGTTCTTCTTTACTTTTCATAGATCTTGAACATTTTTCTTAAGGATCTGGTGAAGAATTCTTTTGCCTTGGAGTTTAATAATTATAGAGTATCTCCAAGGCAAATACATGCGAGCTTTGTCCTCTTGGGATAGGGAGATTCTTTTCCCTATTGTAGTTAGAGGATCCATAGATGTGTTTTCCAAGGTGGGAGATGGTAAGGATTCAAAAGGATCAATGGTGATATCCATATCACCCTCTCCCCTGATTAGTTTATCCTTATACGAGATAGGTGAGTTTCCTTGGAGCTGGATTTGATTATTATTATTGATGATATCCGGTGATTTTGGAGGAATCATTGATATGTCCATTTCAACGGCAGGGTGGTCTGTTTCCATGAAAGTGAGAAGATGGAGTTTGAAGGTGGAGGCTTTTCTTTTAGTAGGTTAGAGAGAAGTTAGAGATTCTCTCACTATCTGTGTTGTGTTTCGCTCTTACTTTTGGAATTCAAATAGTCACTATTCGTCCCAAACGACCAGCTGGGACTAATTTAATTAATTTTACTTCGAACAAGAATTGAAGAGTAAGGGTAAAGATATAATTCGTAAAATCTAGATGTGTAAGAAATTTTTCGAGACAACTTTAGAAAGAAAAAGAGGTATTTTTGCCACATAGAAAAGACATAAAAGATAAAGTAATGAATGAAACATCTCTATATATGTACATCTCGATAAAATACTTATCGGCGTCCTAATTATGTTGAATGATTGACATGCCTCTGTATGGGTCAAAATCTGACCAGAGAAGAATCGGCGTAAGAAGGGACGGAGAAAAGCTACTTGGGACTGTCATATCCATACCACGCTGTAACGATATGCACCTCGACCACGGCTGAGGTTATATATTCAGAACGCTCGAGAGGTGAATTGGATGATACGGCATTTCAAGGGGTCAGCCCGTAATATAGTCAAACGACTTAAGTACTAGGGGTAATGACCGTTGGGTAAAGGAGAAGACCCAGTAGATAAAGGAAGTGAGAAGAAGAAGGAAGGGGGGCGAAAACAAGGACAGACAGACATGTTCTCTGAGAGGAGGGGAGATCTTCATCTCTCTCTCTCTCCCCGTGAAGGAGAAACAAGCAAAGAAGCTCAGATCTTCAATATATATCGTTAGTCTCATCACGTCAAATGTACGGGTTTCTACCTTGTTACACATCGGTGACCCTTTTCCATCCATGTATTTTCGTTATTGTTTAATGTTATGGAAATCACTGTCCTCTTCTTATACAATAGGATTTAATCAATATTACAGTTGAAACTCATGTATGCCTTGTTTGCTTACTCATATCTTCTATCTTAGATCTAGAGTAAATTATCGTTGGTTAAGATTTACCCAAAATCTTCCTATTTAATTAGTTTAACAAAAAGCTCAACGCTTTTGGCCGAACACACTAATCGGAAATTGGAACGCGTCTAATTACCTCTAACTCCTACAAGATAATTACTATCTTATATCATCCTATTTTCAACTTATCTTTACTTGTAACAATTTGTTAAAAGTGGTAGTATCACTTTTAGCCCACGCCAGAAACTATTTATATTCGGTAGTTAAAAAAGTGTCTAAAATTTGTATAATTTTTGTATATAACATACAAAATGTATATATATACAAAAAATATTTTTTTTATTATTTTGAGAGCGTCTATACAGTATCATTTTCCCATATTAAAAGGATATGTACACCTTGTCATAAATCCTTGACCATTTTGTGCTTATCGTTTCAATTTTATCCAATGTGTAAAATAAAATATCTTATCCATTTAACTGTTATTCCAAAATAGGTGTCGTACAATAGACTATAAATATCATACGTTCCCTAGAGGAACTCAGTGAATGTAGGCAACTGAATCATATTATCATCCTTGAATTTCCTGAATACAAGGGAATATTTTTAATCCATTTTGTCCCCTCATATCCACTGCAAATCCAAATCAAAACGAAATAATCCTCAGAATAATCCGAAATACCATTAACGTAATCAAATTAAGGGATACCTTTGTTTATCCTATATACCAGAAAGTCCCTTCATTAATTGTTATGTTATTTCACATTGGGTTAGAACCAGACAATCAAATCTATGGCCTGTGACAAAAATAGATGAAACCAATTCTTCTACGTATATAAATACACAAATCCATTCATGTTCTTCTCTTTGTCATCTCAATTCTTGAAAAATAATATTCTTATTCTAGTTCCAATTCTCCCCTTTTGTTTCTTTGTGTATATACAATTTTTACCTTTTTTTATTTCATTTTTACTTGTTGGGGTTTTGTCATTTGGTTTGAAAATGCCAACGGAAGGTGTCACGGTGGAGGAACCTGTTTTATGTGGTTCACCACTCGGGTCAACACCAAGCTCCCCTAAGAGTAGGATTAAATTTTTATGTAGCCATGGAGGAAAAATTCTTCCTCAGCCAGCTGATGGCCACCTCAAGTATGTTGGCGGCGAGACACGTGTTATCTCCGTTCCTCGAGACATTAAACTTTCAGGTAAATATTTATGTCTTTTTGAAGATTTAGAGAATCTGTATATGGTCGATCGTGCTTGTTATTAAGGCGTAATTGTTATCTCGAAAATTCACTATTCATGCGATTGGAGGGAATTGAGTCATGAATTGATTTGTATTGTGAATTTAATTGGACTCTGAGTTATGAACAATCTCATCTTTTCCAATTCATATCAAATTCATTGGCAATTTTGCATGGATCCAAATCAAGAGGAAAGAGCAGAAAAGAAATGCTGAAAATTGTACTTTTTTTGTTAATCTTTATTCATTATTTTGCCTTTGATAGTTCTAGAGAATGCCATTCTAGAGTCAGATAGATGTACCTTAACTCATGCAGCCATTAATCATTGACATGACCTAAAATATCATTTTATCACCAAGCATTATGGCTTCAGCCTCATTGATTTTTAACTTCAAGGAAATATAATTGCCTATTAAAGTTTCTTTTTCTAAAATTCTTGAGTTGAATAAGAGTTACTTTCCTTCACATTACAGAACTTATGAAGAAGCTTACTCCCCAAATTGAGGGTGACATGGTTCTCAAATATCAATTAGTACATGAGGATCTTGATGCCTTGATCTCAGTAAAAACAGACGAGGATCTACGCCACATGTTAGATGAATATGATCGTTGCGAAAGTGCAGGAATCCCGAGGCTTCGCGCCTTTCTCTTCCCAGCAAAGCCCGTCGTGGTAGACCACCATACAACGCCACCAGAACCTCTAGAACAACGATATATTGATGCCATTAATGGCATAATCCGTGCCAGAGAAGCAGGGATTCGGGTACCACCTCTAAGCATAAGCCATGCTTCTTTTAACATTTCCTCTGCTTGTTCTTCACCAAGATCTCCTGAGAGTTGCACTACTGATGGTGTTATCCAAGAGTCTTTGTTACAAAGTATTTTTCAGAATAGAAGTCAATTGCACAAAGTTCAGAGCTCACCTAGCTTTTACAATGTCACTAGCCCGCAGCAACACGGTTTCCATCATACCCCTCAATCACTGCAGCAGCAGCAACATCACTCTTACAACTATAGACAACCAAATTACAATGGGTACCAGTTAAGTAAACCTCCTCCAGGTCCTGGTGATCCACTCAAAGGGCCAGAAAGGCTTGTTTCTGTTAGGTCTGTTGGACGAGCCGAGGGGTTAAGGTATCAAGTGGATCATAACCAACATTACTATCAATCACCCGCGAGACACAGCCGTGGTAGTGGCTGCTGTACGAAATGCATGCACTACGATGACTATGGCCATTGTGGGGAAAGGAGAAATGGAAGTATATCGCCGGGCAGTTACTCTATGGAGATAGGAAATGGTTGTCCTTCTCCAGGTGGTTACTCTGTGGAAAGAAGAACCAGTAGTCTTTCTCCCAGTCCCATACCACTGAGTCCTCGCTTCTCCAATATGGCTGCCTCAGGGGATACTTGAGACTCTTATCTGCTCTACAAATCTCAGCTTTTTCTGTATTTAACTTCTGTAGTGTGAGCCAATGGAGACAACACTACCTTCTCATGCACATAAGTTTTGAAAGAGCTTTTCTTAATTATTTGTATAGTAAAAAATTACTCTATAATCAAAAAGTGATGTACATCTATCTTTTGTGTTTTACCTTTGGACTTTGTATAATAAAGCTGCCCTGTGTATTCCAATCTACAAATTCTGTTGGCATTTGTCCATAAAACGAATACTTGAATCCAGATATGAACAAGAACTGTGAGATGAGCTTGGAAAGAGAAATCTACACTAATTTATTGTTGGCACTAATTATTAAGAATTAAATTCAAATTCAATCACTCCAATAACAGCAAGTCTGCGACTGAGAAAACAAGTAATCAAAAGCACAAGGAACTTTAAGAATCGATCCACAAGTTCCCCTAAATATCAAGTTTGGGGATGGTAGGGGTGAGAACCCGAAAAGCGGTATCTCTAACTTTTCGGTTCAACTGGTGACATCTCTAAAAATATTCATGGGGTTGACACTGTTTCATCTTGCAAGCAAGAGTAGCCACCTAACTCAACATTTCTAACCTCTATTTCCTGTATGATCATCTTTTTCGCAGACCCCAACCACCAGAAATTGTCCCCCAAAATCGTAATTGTGCAAAAGTTAAAACCTTATGCACAACCTAAGCAAGAGTATAATAAGCTGAAAATTAAATATAGCCTCAAAATTGCTCTTCTATGCTCACTTGCTATCGGTGAAATCAGCATCGATTACGTCTCCATCAGGTCCTTTCCCTGATGATGATTCTGAAGGACCAGCGGAATCGCCAGGTGCTGGACCAGCACCTGGTGCAGCTCCAGCGCCGGGCTGGTTGTAGAGTGACTGGCCAAGCTGCATCACTTCTTGGTTAAGGGCAGCCATTGCATCCTTCATGGTCTGAGTGGAGCCCCCTGAGATCGCTTCTTTAAGCTCTCCAAGTTTAGCCTCAACTTTCTCTTTAACCGGCCCCGGTACTTTGTCTCCAAGTTCCTTCAGCTGCTTCTCTGTCTGGTAGACAACAGAATCGGCCTGGTTCTTTGTGTCTATGGCATCTCTCTTCTCCTTGTCTTCCTGGGCGAATCTTTCAGCTTCTTTAACCATTCTCTCGACCTGTTCCCACGCAACCAGATATCCCATCACTTATGAGCAGTAAGGGGAATTGACATGAAATGACATGCAACATACCACTCATAGACACCCAAAAGTTTTTTTTTTAAAACAAAATATAAAAAGGAAAGAGAAAGCAACTTTCAGCAGCTGATAAGCACTATACAGCTCTTTGCCCAACAATCCAACTAGAATTGCTAAAAAGACTTTGGTGCTAGTACAATTGGAAGTCAAAAACATACCTCATCACCGGGCAATGTGCTGGCACCAGTAATGGTGATGTCTTGCTTCTTCCCAGTACCCTTGTCAATAGCAGTGACGGAGAGAATGCCATTGGCATCAATATCAAATTTCACTTCAATTTGAGGAACCCCTCTTGGGGCGGGAGGAATTCCATCAAGCCGGAAGCTGCCCAAAGACTTGTTATCCCTAACAAATTCCCGCTCCCCTTGGAGGACATTAATTTCTACACTTGTCTGACCATCAGCAGCAGTAGAGAATACTTCTGATTTTGAGGTAGGCAATGTTGTATTTCTTGGAATGATCTTTGTCATCACACCACCAAGTGTTTCCAAACCAATGGACAACGGTGTGACATCTAAAAGAACAATATCACTGACATCTCCGGCCAATACTCCAGCCTAGAAAAATGAGAAAATGAGAGGTGCACCAAAATACAAATCAAGAACACAAGATGCACCAAGAACAACGATCTCACCTGCACTGCAGCACCGAGAGCAACAACTTCATCAGGATTTACTGTAACATTGGGGTCCTTTCCAGTCAATTTCTTAACAAGTTCCTGAACAGCAGGAATACGTGTAGAACCACCAACAAGGATCACCTCATCAATATCACTGAAGGAGAGCTTGGCATCTCTCAAGGAATTCTGAACAGGAGTTTTAAGCCTGATTGCAGAACAAGAGCAAAAAAACTGACATCAAGACCTTATCTCATAAACGGCACACCAACTTTAAAAAAAATTGATAAGCTACAAAAGTTTGTTCTATTGCAGACACCTGTCAAGCAGATCCGAGCATAGTTCTTCAAATTTACCCCGTGTGATAGTGGTCTCAATGTGTTTAGGACCATCCGCAGTGGCTGTGATGAATGGTAAACTGCAAAACAAAAATATATAATCTCAATATCAACAGAGAGAGAAGCCTCAACAGGAAAAGACAAAAACAAAATGAAGGTTGAAAACACTGTACATACCTGATGTTAGTCTGTGTGAGTGATGACAGTTCCATCTTAGCTTTTTCAGCAGTCTCAGTCAGACGTTGAAGAGCTTGTTTGTCCTTCAGAAGATCAATACCTTCATTCTTCTTGAAATCTGAAGCAAGCCAATCAACAATTCTCTGCATGAATGAAACACTGGTAAGTGACCTCTAGCAGGTACTAATGGTTTAGAGTTAGATTGTTCAATCAAGTCACAACAACATTTTGTTGGTAGGAAAGAAAAGATACAAACCTTGTCAAAATCATCACCACCAAGATGGGTATCACCAGAAGTAGACAACACCTCAAAGACACCGTCACCAACCTCAAGAACTGCAAGCAAATATATTAGTCCAATTGCCCCAGGCATTAGTACGCACAAAGACATGGATAGAGACATCTTATAAAAGTATCCCCTAAACTACATAAGAAAGCTACAAGTGAGGAAAAACCAGCACAGAGATTCACATTACTAAATAAAGAAACAACAATTCAAATTTGGCAGCTATCAGCCCATTCCTATGAACCTTTTAACCATGCAGCTTAAGCTCAAAAAGCTACACGATAAACAGCAGTAAAGAATATGCAGCAACTTGTAGAATGCTTTTATTTTATTTCTATAACTATCCCTACAAACTTGTTTAAAGCTAATCCTCTCCTTCAAATTGTGGCTGTATGCACACCATCAATATCGGTAAGCTTAAATTATGAAATCAACAACAGCGGGTAACCATAACGTCATTATTACCTGATACATCAAAAGTACCACCTCCAAGATCAAAAACCAAAATAGTTTCATTGTTCTTCTTTTCAAAACCATAAGCCAGGGAGGCAGCAGTTGGTTCATTAATTATCCGGAGAACCTCTAATCCAGCAATGCGACCGGCATCCTTTGTTGCTGTCCTCTGAGAATCATTGAAGTATGCAGGAACTGTGACAACAGCCTTAGAAACCTTGTCATTCAAAAATTTGGATGCATCATCGACCAACTTCCTCAAGACCTAAACCAGAAAAGAAAGTAAAAGCATTAGTCAGTCAACATAATTTTGCAAGCAATAACATCCCTAAACAATAGCCAGCTCACTTAACTATGGAATTAAAAATAAAAAGCTAAGAAAAAAAAGTATCCTGCAGGATGCTCTAGCCTCTGTACAAACTCTTGTCTAATCAGTTTTGAACCTCATATAAATAATGCTTTATTGGACAGCAAAATCATATTCCTCACACAGGTCCAGCAAAAGCCATGTGAATTAACAATTTAGTGAAAAACAGACGCCGTGTGAATTAACGAACATCAGGATCTCGATTCATGAAACTAATTATACTAAAGGCATTTTTTGCATGGAGCAAAAGATTATTCAGGAAAATATTTACCTTTTCCTTCATATTTTCCTGGACTAAATAGTGTATGGTTACCTTTCTGGAACACGTTTTCTCAAAAAGAAAAAAATTGTTCTTTACAATACACCTACTTCTACTCCATATCTCTTTAATCAAAACTTTCATATTGCCAATCTTTAATACAAATTATATTAAAACACTATCTTCATAACATATCTACACCTTGTACTATTATATGAAGAAAAAATAATGTTCTTTTACAATACCTCGACTTTTGCTCCATATCTCTTACTTCAATCAATATTAGATATTATTGTCAGACTTTAGTACAAATTAAGTTAAACCCTATCCTCGTACCTTCTCCAACACCTTGTAATATCATATGTTATCAACCTTTTTACTAACTTCATACCAAAAGCATCATAAACCGTTAATACATGTTTATGAAGCAGAATGCAAGATTAAATATATACCTGAGCTGAAATTTCTTCAGCGGCGAATGATTTGCCAATTGCAGGGCAATCGAGCTTGACGTTTCCATTCTCATCTCTAATAACATTGTACGAGACCTGCTTCGACTCCTCATCCACCTCATTCATTTTCCTCCCTATGAATCTCTTCACCGAAAAGAACGTATTCTCCGGGTTCACCACAGCCTGACGCTTCGCAATTTGCCCGACAAGCCTATCCCCGTTCTTAGTATAAGCCACCACTGAAGGTGTTGTCCTCTGCCCTTCAGCGTTGGTCACTATGGTGGGCTTCCCTCCTTCCATAGCAGCCACGGCGGAATTGGTCGTTCCCAAGTCAATTCCCACCACCTTCTCCGCCACCACCCGCAGCGGCGCGTGACCACCACCATTTCTCCGGCAGCTACTGCTCTTCTTCTGCTTCAGTCCGAACGCTAGGGTTCTGTTATTTAGGTTTTGACCTAAAAACACTGTCTTTGAGGGTTTTCTACTGGAAGAGGAAGTTGTGAAATATGTGGCTCCAAGAGCGTGAATTTGAGCTGTTGAAGACGCCATATTTACCAATTGAATACAAAGAGATTGAGTTTATCGGTGCGTAAACCTGTGCGTGTAAAGGTTGGAGGAAACCCTAACCCTAGAAGAGAGGAATTTGAGGATTTGGGGGATTAGAGCGGAGTGAACAAAGGAGTGAGGAGGAGAAGGAGTAGAAGAAGAGAAGATAAGAGGGGAGGTTGAGGGTTAGGTGAGGACACGTGGACGGTTCTAGAATAATCTATTGGGTGTGCTCGTTTGTGATTGAAATTAAGCTTATGATTGGCTCATTTGTTTTGGGCCCCTTCGTGTGTTCTTTTCTTATTACTGGAAGGACCCAATGGATCTAGTGGATCATCACTACAGGCCGGCAGCCACAATTTTCATTTCAAAAACTGCACAAATATGACAATTTTTGGGGTGATTTTTAACTTTTGCCCCCACTTACCTTATGGCCAGAATTTTAAGGTCAAAAGTTAAAAGTATGGCTCATTAGATAATCGAGGTGCAATGCTTGTTAAATTTGAAGTTAGACCATCCACTTCGAGGGTTATTTGTGTACGTCCCTCGTTCTCATTAGGCACATTAAAAATCTTAAATGTTTTTTAATTCTTAGGGAGTGTTGTATAGTTAACTTTCCAATTTTCATTTTCACCTTAATCCAATTCGAAGTGAATCAGCAATTACTCTTGATTTGACATCTCAAT